CACCCGATAGTTCCCATAGGAGGCAGGGTCTCGCTGCTCCACCTTGACATCTTGGAGGTGATCTTGGACGCCTCCAGCAGGTGCCTGGGATGCATTGTCAGTGTTTGCAGTGCCAGATGAGTCAAGGCTATTCTGAAACCAGGCCCCCAGGGGCAACGCTATTTAGATAGGTCCTGTCCAGGAGTGGCTTTAGAAGGGGGACAGAATGGCTGCATGCAAAGGAGTGCATGGGGCGAGGCTCTCAGTCTGCTCACCTGTAGAGTAGGACTACAAATGACTAGAGCTAGTAAATGACAGTGTTGTCATGGTTACTGTTGTTGGCTGCCTCATTACATTGTTAGCTCTGCATCTCATCTTACTAGTAATGAAGGACTCCTGATAACCACACCTCTCCATCTCCTGACATTAAAATATTGTTCATATTTTAAATGCACAGCATATTCATTTTTTTTTTTTTTGTCTTTTTCCTTTTTATCGGTACCGGGGATCGAACTCACGACTGCCTGCTTACAAGGCAGGTGCTTATGCCGCTGAGCTAAATCCCCAGCCCCAGCATATACATTTTTATAAAATCACGTTTGTAAACCATCCAGGTTCCTCAGGGGTAAGGTCAAAGTACACACAGCTGTGACTATTAAGTGGCAAGGTCTTTGCTGCTAGTTTGATAGGCATCAAGGAGTTTGTGTATGTGTGCACATGCATGTGAGTGTGCACACAGATGTGGATGATTGCTTGCATCCATGTGCATAGGTGTGTACTGCAAGCACAGGCTTATTGGCTCCAGGATTCATCTGCAAGGTAAAGAACTCATACAAGGTAAAAAGTCAAGTATTACCTCAGTGCCTCCCCTCTGAGGAAATCACAAGCATCCAGTGGTGCTAGTAGAGGGGAGAAAGGACCCCAGGAACTCTCTCAGGATCACCTAAAGCCATTCTAAAATCAGTTTTGTTCTCTGCATGGGACCAAATGCAGCATGAGGCCAGGTCACCAGCAGATCATGTAGGGGAAGTGCTTTATGGGTGTGAGAGTAGTCACACTAAGATGAGGAAGATAAAGGCCATTTCCATACAGCCTGGACACAGAGGAGTGACCCCTGTGGGCCTCCAGCACGTGATAAGTGGGCACATGAGCTGCTGCCCAGGCTGCAGAAGGTAGATGTATCTTTAATCAGGGGTGGGATTCCTGGTAGTCAGGAATCCCAGCAAACAGGGTTTCAGAAAGGCCGATGCCGTCATCCCAGGAAGGCCAAAACCTGGCCTGGCCTCCTTTGGCCACTGGTATCTTTCTCTTTTGTCCAGGTTGCTAAGCAAACCACAATGCTTTTTGCCCGGGCTTGATGTGAAAAGGTGGGGTTCACATGCTCTGGGGACCAGTGGGAGCTCTTCCCAGGATCCCACTCCCCCAGCCATCAGCCTCAGTGCCTGTGGTCACAGCCCTCCTTTGCTATTCAAATGGAGTCAGCTGGGTCTGTGCAAGCCCTGATAAGCAGAGGACACTGAAGTGCACAGGTTGGGCAAGAGGCCAGGACTCGGGGGTCCCCAGGAGTGGTCCACACCACTGCATCCCGCCTCTCTGCTGAGAGTTCCTCAATCCTCCTGGGAATTTCCGGTCACTTCTTCCTTTCCAAAAGGGGTTCCACCCTTGGAGCCCACCTAGTGACCCTTTCTCTCCCCTCTCCCAGTACCACATACCTCTAAATAGCAGGGGATAGGGGTTGTGGTCTGGCCACTCATGCATTCCTGGGCTTAGGTAAACAGAATGAGGGCCTCCACCAGTCAGCATCAAGGCCTCATCAAGAAACTGGACAGTTTCCATATCACAGACTTCCCAATCTGACTCCCAAAAACTGGTGCCATGCTTGGGGTGTGATGCTGCTGTGACACCCTGGTGATATCTGCCTTGGGCATGTGCCGTTGTCCTGAGAGGGCAGATGCCCTGGTCAGTCATCAAAAGTTGGGGTCCAGGTCATGGCAGGTAGGATTCTTGTCCTGGAACATCACACGGTCCACACTCAATGAGGTAAAATACTGAGAGAGGCTAGTGCATCACACAGTGTGTCACCCGTAACCAGCATGTCATTAGACCAAGACAGGTCTGGGATCTGGAACTTGGGACTCCTGGCTTCCATGTGGCATTTGTGTCCCCTCCCTCAGGCCACTTCCAGTAGCTCCTGCTGCTGACACAAAACCCAGTGGCAGAGACTGGGGGCCCCTGCTCAGGCTGGAGGCATACGGGAAGTGTGAGTGGTAGGATGTCTGCAGAGGAAACTGAGTCACTCGTACCCCCCCAGCCCCTTGTCTCCACCCATTCCAAAGTGAAGAGAAGACAGAAAACTCACAGAACAGAAATAATGGGGTATCCAGTGCACCAGAGCCATTGGCCACTGAAATTTGATTTGTTTGAACTGAGATTTATTTTTACTTTTTAAAAAGTGGATCCATTCGTTACCAGTTTGAGCCTTTAAAATGGTTTGTTTAATAGTTAAAACATTAAGGCTCAAAGAATTTAGGAAATGCTCTGGGTCATTTGTTTATTAGGCTTTTTGGTGTTGGGGCCCATGGGGGAATGACTCTGTCTAGGTCCCAGAAACAGCTTTGACACATGGGCCTGACCCCGGCATCCTTCGGTGCCACCATGCCCACCGTGGTTCAGGGGTGAGTTGCCTTGAGTGCTCCAGGACTCACATAAGTGGACAAAGCTGTCCCCAGGGGATTCAGGCTGCCTTCTGAGAAAGCACAAGAGCTTTCTCCTATCTGGTCCCCCTGCCTCCAGCACCCGCCCAGCTCAATCAGCAGAGAGTTCCTTTGGTTAATCTGAATATAAATCAACAAAGAACAGCTCCATTAGTGGCTCAGGCTCTGAATTCATGAGGGCCCGGGGCCATGGGGTCATAGCTGCCTGCATCTCCCAGCCACTATCAGATTCTCAGAGCCCTCTGGTCAGCTTTCTGGAGCTCCTCCAGCAACTTCCGTGGCCTCTTGGGTTTGTCTGCTGGTCTCTGCCTCTGGTCTCTGGAGCCCCCCAGGACTGCCTGTCCTCCTCGGACCCAGGACCACTCACACAGACTCACACAGAGCAGCAGAGAGCCGTGCATGAAGTTTGCACATTTGAGTACTGGTTTGGGGACTTTCCCAGCAGTGGGGAGAGGCAGAGTGTGGTCATCTGGGACAGGTCCAAGGTTCTTGTCCACCGCAACCCAGCCAGGTTCTCCTGGAGCAGTAGGATAAGGGAGATGTCACTGTCCCCCAAGCCCAGCTCCATTCCCTAGGTGGGAATGGAGGGTGTGGTCTAGGCAACCCCTCAAGAGGGCAGGCGGTGGAGGAGGGCATGAGGAGCAACAATCAGGTCCCCGCCCCTCCTGCTGTCCCAGGGAAGAGGGAAGATAGCCTAGGTGCCTTGAGTCTTCCTTGTGTCCCCAAGGATGATTGCTCCTGCTCCTCTGCAGTCTGCTCCAGGGCATCAGGCTCGCTGGTGGACTGTCCCCTGACTGAGTGCAGCATCTGTCACCACCCGACAGCCCAGGCTTCTGCAGTTAACAACCCCTCTTCAGACCTCAGGAGGCCCAGGCCATTCTGAGAATCACAGCTTCAAAGGACACACTATGGTGAAGGCCTCAGTCCACCTCAGGGTAGCCTTTCAGAGTTGTCCCAAGGTGGGATGGCAAGTGTCTGCAGCCTCACTGATTGGTCCTGGTATGCTGAGCCCCCAAGCATGTGGCCTTGGCTGGCACTTAATGCTTCCAGCAGGTAGGTAAACCTGAAGGGGGCCCACACAGCCACCATAGAGCCTCAACTTTCTTTTCCATAAAATGGGACAATAATCCACTTACTTCCACTCATTGTGAAGACAATCTGTTAATAGGGCTTAGTATCGAGTGGAGAGCCTGGCAGCAGCCAGCAGGATCATCTTCGGCACTTTTGCTGCACTTGTGACTGCACACCTCCCCTCCCTGCCCTGGGGACCCACCTCCCAGCTGCACCGCCATCACCATTGCCTGGTACAGTGAACCCCTTGGGCTGGTGCTCCCTGTTTTCCTCCAGGGCCTTGGGGACCAACCAAGTCCCCCAGGGTTCCAGCGTCTGAGCTTCAACCTCAGAGGCTCTATCTCTACCGCTGCTGTCTTCCCACAGGTCAAGCCCATATACACAGCTCTCCACACCCCAGCCCACGCCCCGGGGAGGATGCCTCCCAGCCTCACCCTCTCTTTGGCCTGTCCCTGTCTCAGGCCCTTTGTTCAGGTCCACTGTGCACTGCCCATTCTGTGGGCTCGTTTTCAGAACCACTCCTGCCCTTGTCCCTTTGGCCTGCTCCTTGGTCCTGGAAATGCAGCTTTTCTGTTTCAGAGTCAGGAGGCTTTGCATTTTGTCTTGGAGACACCTGGAAAGTAAGAAGCAAGGCACTGGGAGGACCTTGTATGTCCCATCCTCTCGCACGGAGGAGGAGCAGGGGTCTGGTACGGGGCGGGGCAGGGAAACCTGAATTGCAGTCTTCTCCGGAAGGCCTATGGCTGGGGTGTGCCAGGGTTTCTGTGGGCACATACCCCGCATATCTCAGAACAAGTATATAGCCACCCAATGAGGCACGGGGCAGGTAACCGCTCAGCACCACCTTCTTGTCAAACACAGCTGAGCTCAGGTAGGAGCAAGAGCACAGAGCCAAGTGACTTCACAGGCGCCCGGGCAGGCGAGGTGGGAGTGAGCACAGTGCCCACCTCAGTCTGGAGAGAAGCAGGCAAGGAGGGGACAGCACGTCCCGGTGCAGATTCAGGAGGTTCACACCTGCAGACAGGGACACCGAGGAGCTACCTTTGCTGTCTGTCCTGTGCCTGGAGACTAATTTCATTTAATGAAAGGCCTCCAAGGGAATCTTGTGGAATGCAGGGAGGGAACACAGGCCTCATAGAAAAGGGCTGGCACTGAGATTTCATGCTTCTGCCAGCCTTGGCTTTCTGACACATCCTGTAGCTCAGCCTTTTCCAGAAACTGTCCAGCTGGGTTTCCGTGAATGCTTGAGAAACATTTAGAAAATGGATGCACTTTGAGACCGGATATGCGCTGCACCAACACTATAGCGAGGGAGTGTGTTGTCAGCTTCTGTCCTGTAACAAAATGCCTAGAAAGCCACTTGGACGAGGAAGGCTTTGTTTTGGCTGTTTCAGGGCTTTCAGTCAGCCAGCCCCTCGCTTGGAGCCCTGCACTAAGGCAGAAACATCGCGGTGTAAGGGTGGGGGAGAACAAAGCCGCTCACCTCGTGGCAACCAAGAAGCAGAGAGGAAGGAGCCAGGAACCACACATTCCAATAGTCCTCTTGCCCTTCCCCCAGGAGATTGTGGAACACCCGGAATTCATCCGTGGGGGCGCCACCAGGACTGACATCTGCCAGGGGGAGCTGGGTAAGTGTGGGGGATGGAATCTGCTGAGAGGGCGTGGAGGGACCCGCTGTGAGCAGTGACCACAGCAGAGGGAGCACCAGGTCCACGACAGCAGGCCACCGGGCTGAGAAGGCACAGCCTCACTCCTACCCTTCCTCCCCACTGTGCCACCGTGCTACGGAGCCTGTCGCCTCCAAGAAACTCACACTGCCTGCCTCTGGCAGTGCAGTCGCCCACGGCCTGGGCTGCCCTGGAGCCCCCAGCGTGGCTAGCCAGCTCCTGCAGCAGGGACTGGCCACCTGCCAGCACCCCTGTCAAAGCGTTCTTCCTTTCCTTTTCCCAACACCACCCACCACGCGACATGTGAAAAAACTGAGGCTGGAGGAACCAAGAACTGGTCCAAGGGCTTGCAGATAGCAGACAGGTTTTTGGGGTTCACACAGACAGTCCAGCTGCAGAGGCAATGTACCTAATTTACATCACATTGGCTCTTGTGTTCACTGGGGATTCATGAAAATTAGGAATCCCATTCAACCTAACTATTGCCCTTCTAGGTATAGTCCAAAAAGACTTAAAGTCATCACATTACCGTGATACATTCATATCCATGTTTATAGTAGCATAATACATAATGCCTAAATCCTGGAAACAACAGATGACTGGATTAAGAAAATGTGCTACCTTTCCATGATGAAGTACTATTCTGCCATAAAGAAGAATAGACTTGAGTCACTTATAGGAAAATGGATCCACCTTGAGGCCATAATATTAAATGTAATAAATAAGGCACACAAACTTATATGAGAAACCAAAATTATAAATAGCAAAATAAAAGACAGACAATGAGAAAAGAGGAAGGAAACATTATTATAATCCAGCATAGCCAACATACCAAAAGTGTACCTAGATTTAGTATAATTGTTTTGTGTGTTTTCTCATCTGTTAGTCTGGCTGTTGGTCTGTGTTTATGATAATTAACTTGATAAAAACTTAAAAATAAATAAAACCAATGCTGGCCATAAAAAGTATGATGTACTGTGTACATGTATCAACTCTCCATGATGCATGTCATCATTAGGAATTGCAGACATGTGCTAATAAAAATTTTTTTTAAAAAAAACAACCAGATGAAGAGAGCAAATACAGCAAGTGTGTGCAGACCCATGTACAGCCGAGGTTAAGGCAGGCCACACTGGGACAGCCATGTGGAATACCTGAGCTCCTGTAAACAGTTCCAAAGCCACCAGCCTACACTGCTGACAGATGGATGAAAGACAGATAGAACAGGTAGAGTATTAATAGAGCTCAGTGATAGATTAGATATATAGATAACAGGGCTAAATATAGGTAGATAAGAAGCTAATGAAGTGGGTAGATGACAGCTGATAGGTAGATCTAGCTCTGATAGTACTGCATTGGCCATTGAGTTTAAACACAAATTGTGTGGGGAGACACAGAAGAAGAGACAGAATTAGCAGATATGTGACAGGTAGGAAGGGAGGAATGGGTGATTGGTGGGTGGACAGATGATAGAAGTGTATAATCTGGGTATAACTTGGGTTTCCTAGAAATGTGAATTCTTGGGAAGCCAAGCTGGGTGTTTCATAGTCTACTGAAAACAAACAAATCTGGACCCAGCCGGCCAGTCCTGTGGGGTACATGGATGCTCCCAAATATCTGCTCATGCTTATCCCACGCAGCATGGAGGCAAGGCACTTGAGACCCAACCACATGGGGAGTCTGCACAACGCAGATCAAACACTTTCTGACGTAGATCTTTGCCTCTCAGATTGTCTCCAGAGACTGCTGGGTAGCTCAATAGACTCATCCATCTTTGAAATGCAAAATAATTGAAAGCAAACAGAGCTACCATGGCGTCTTGCTGCCTCTAAATCAACTGTGGCCTGGGAGACAGAGACCCAGAATTGTGCCCCCAGACACAGCTGAGCTGTCCCATTCCCCTCCCCCCTTCCAGTTCTGCAGACCTAGCTGTAAATCTACCATTTTTTAAAACGCAGAAATACATTTCTGTTGGAGCTCTCAACATTCCCTGGCACAGTATTTCCCTAGTTACCGAGAACTGGCAATGAAAGTGCAATTTACGGCCTTCGTTCTGCAGGGGACTGCTGGCTGCTGGCCGCCATCGCCTCCCTCACACTCAATGAGAAGGCACTGGCCAGAGTGGTCCCTCAGGACCAGAGCTTCGGGCCTGGCTATGCTGGAATATTCCACTTCCAGGTAGGGGGGCCGAGGCCCTGCAGGATGCTGTGTGTGCCTTTGTACCACAGGGAACTCTCGGAGAAATGTGGCAGCATGTGTGTGCACCGCAGTGCTCGGCCATGTGGGAAGCATGCTCTGTGCTGCAATAACATCCACGCATCAGAGCTGCACTGGGGTATGGTCTAGGAGATTCTCTGGGCATTTGGCACCCAGGGGGTGGCATGACTCAGCCCTTGAATTTGCTTCCCCATAGGGGGATCTAATGTCCTAATCTAACATCACACAGCTATAAGTAGCCAAAGAACCTAGAATCTAAGAGTTGTCTCTGGCATCCTTTGGCGCTGCACTACCTCTGGCCAGGTGGAGACTGGCCTTGCCAGGCTCTCTACTGTCCCTCCTCAGTCTCCTCTCTCATGCTCCTCCTGTGTTCCGGGGCCACACAGCAGATCTGAGGAGACAGGGGAGTCAGCAGAGCTGCTCTGTTACCTACAGCCCTAAGCTCTCCCGACACAGGGCCAGCACCAAGCTCTCTGCCCAGTGCCTGCCCCTGCAGGAGGCCCAAAGTTTAGGCCTAGGAAGAGGACCTCCCTGGGTACTGGGAAGTTCCCTGTGACTGAGCCCAGAAAGGCAGATTGGCTCCCAAGGCCACTTGCCTGGCTGACACTCTGATACTCAGTGACAACCTCAGAAACTGTCAGGCCAATTATGGTCAAGAAACAGGGAGGAGGTCAGTCCCTGAGGGCTAAAAGGGCACACAGAGAGCTCCTACACAGTCCCTGCCTCATTCTACCTCCACGCCTCTTCCCTACAGACACACAAGCTCAGACACATGCACACATGCATACATGAGTGAACACAATGTGCACACATTTGCACACCAGCATACACACACACCAATTTTCCCTTTACATCTCCACTGCTGGTACTCAGGAAATCCAAGTCCACCAGCCAAGACATCAGCTTGGGCTCCACCTAACAACCAAGAGTTCCCTGAAGACCAAAAAACATTCTAAGGAGCAAGAGCCTAAAACTGAGCAGAGAGAACACAGGACTGGGCCAGCAAGAGCAGATCCAAACCCACACACAACATCACCCTTCTCCTGCCCAAGACTGGTGTGGGAAAGAAATATGATTCAGAGCACTGCAGCATCTGTGTGTGACTCCTATGCTCCCTCTCCATTTCCATGGGGGACACTGGGTCTAGGAGCTGATGTCCTTGGAGGGTGGGGGCTCAGTATGTGGCCTCATCTTATGGGATTCCTTCCAGATGTTAAGAGCAGTTTGCTGGGAGGGAAGAGCAGCAGGATGACATTCCCAAGGGGCGCACTCCCCTGAGACTCACCCTCTCCCATCTGCCTCCCTGGCCTAGTTCTGGCAGCACAGCGAGTGGCTGGACGTGGTGATTGATGACCGCCTGCCCACCTTCAAGGACCGCCTGGTTTTCCTGCACTCAGCCGACCACTGTGAGTTCTGGAGCGCCTTGCTGGAGAAAGCCTACGCCAAGTGAGTAACAGTCCCGCAGCCTTGTTAGAGAGCAGCATCATGGGGGAAACAGAGGCACAGGCCTGCAGCCTGCATGGGACAAGTACCTCCTGTCTCCCTGAGGCACCAACCTGGCCTTGGGAAGAGCTGTGGAAGGAGCAGCAGTGGGGCCTGGCTGTTACTGCAGCTCTGGGTTCTTCAGACTGCCGCCAGACAGTCACATGAGTGTGGAGACATCAACTGCCCCCTTCCCACGCTCCTTTCCTTTCCTTCTTAAACAAAAATAGCTGCACGATATGGATGACACAAAACTTACCTTTATTTATTTATTTCTGGAAATGCTGGGGACTGGACTATCTTCACACTGAGTTACAACTGCATGCATCCCATTTTTAACTTTTTATTTCAAGACAGAGTTTTGCTAAGTCACTAAGTTACCCAGGCTTGGGTGTGAATTTGGAATCCTCCCGCCTCAGCTTCCCAGAATTCTGGAATTCCAGGTGTACAACACCACGCTCATCTTCTTTTCATCCATTTGACAGCACTGACACCTTTGCATGGTTGTGCAACCATCACACAAAACTTGGAGAACTGCAGCCCTGTGCCCACTAGGCCCTGCTTCCTGTCCCCCGCTGGGCCCTGGAAGAATGATGGTTCTACTCCCTGGCTCTGTGATCTCACCACCTAGCAATCTCATATAAGTGCAATCAAGATACCAACTCTTAACAGCCAACCAAATGCCCTCAGCTCCTGAGGCCCACTTGCAGAATGTGATAAAACAGACTAACTACAGTGAGCCCCCGCTTACAAACATTCGAGTTGCGAACCTTCACAGATTTGAACAGACCTCACACTTGGTTTTTTTTTTTTTTTTAATACTTCACAATTTGTATTTGTGTCAAAGGTGTGTAAGAATCACCTTGTCGGACTTAGGAGTGAATCTAACTTACAAACATTTTCCTGGAATGGAACCGACTCGTAAGTCAGGGACTTACTGCTTCTCACAAGTGTTCGAAATGAACTCAGCAAAGGTAGGGAGATGGGGTGCCAGCCTCAGGCAGAGCTGCCAGGCTTTTAAACATTAGAGCTGAAGAAACTGTGCACATCCTGTACCATGCTGATAAAGTTGCTCCTCACAGAGGAACAGGCACGCAATCCTGATGGAATTATGCCCAGGCCAAATGAAACATCAAGTCAATGGGTCACAGGGGTGTTTCTCACTATTGGCATTGAAGGCGACAGACAGGAAAGTTGAGGGGTCTGCGTGGGCCCACGTGGAGACTGAGTTGAGTCAGAGACACCAGAATGGACTAGACTGCATCTAACAGGCAGTCACATAGAGGACCACTCCTCTATACATGTGTTTCTGGGCTCTGCACATCTCATTCCCTTGCTTTGTCAGTGCGAAGGACTCAGAAGTAATGATAGCAATCCCTGGCAGCAGCCACCCGTCTTCTAGGCCACCCCACAAAAAGGAAGCGGACCTCTTGGAGATAAGGCTGATGCTAGGACTGGACTGGAAATACCTAGGATGAGCCTGGAATCTCTTATAATGCCAAAAAGTGAGAATGCACACAGACATGCACACTCATACACACAGACATACACACACAGAGACCCAGAGACACACATAATCACAGAGACACGTGGAGAGACAGACACACCAAGACACTGGAGCACAGACACATAGATGACGTCAAATCTAAATGATCATGAAAGGTAAACATTTTGAGCTGACTCAGAACACCAAGACAGCCACAAATGGTACAACTAAAGATACTCACAAAATAAGACTTTCAGAACTGTTTCAGAAAGTGGCAGAACTGTTTCATAAGTGTGTTCAAAACCTTGGGGATTAATGGATTAATGGCAATTAATCCATTGAATCCATTGAATGGATTAATGACAATGTATCTTTTACTGTAAACATTTTAAGACACTATTTTAATCTCATTTCATATAAATTAAAACTAAGTGCATATTAATGAAAGAGATGTCTGTAAAGGGAGGGGAGGAGCCCACATATAATCAGCCCCCAGGGAAGCCTATAGGCAGCAAATTGAGACTCAAACCACCAGGCACTCAAAGGAAAGCCCTGCCCTGTACCACCACACATCACTGTCCCCAGAACAGCCCAGGTCTTGGCCTCCAAGAGCTCACACCCTGCCTGCTCCCTCCACCCCACCCAGCCATCCTCCTTGTCTCCCTGCAGGCTGAATGGGAGCTACGAGGCACTGAAGGGAGGCAGCACCATGGAGGCCATGGAGGACTTTACTGGTGGTGTGGCTGAGACTTTCCTCACCAGAGAGGCCCCGAAGGACTTCTACCAGATCCTGGAGAAGGCCCTGGGCCGCGGCTCCCTGCTGGGCTGCTCCATAGATGTGAGTTGCAGACAGGCTCCACTCAGGGACCCTGGGAGGCTCTAGAGGAAACTCTCATGGGGGGTTTAGTTCTTCAGATAAAATGTGAGGCTTTGTTTAACATTTTCCTAAAAGGTAAACTCGCTATCAGGTCAAACACATTCCCACCTCCTTCCAGACTTTCTATACCTCCTGACCCCATCTGGTTAGGACTCGGGGACTGTCCTTTACACCTCTGCTTGCATGGATGCACACATGCATTACACACATGCTGGGGGAAGTTGCCTGAACTTCACTGGAAATGATCTTACCATATGGTTTTCTGATGGAAATCTAACAGCATTTTAAAAAATTTCTCTATGCATATACTCATGGATATAATTGCACCTGATCTATTCAAGTCTTCTTGGATTAACTTTTAATTTTTTAGTGATAAGCTGTCATTTCCTCTGCAAGTTCACATCTGTCCCATCATGTGTCCATGTTGTGTGCCTCCTGGTGTCCTCTTGGTGTATGAAATTGTGTCTCCTGCCTCATAATGTACTGCATGGGGGTGATGATGGTCAGGTTCCTTTTGGGGACAGAAGAGTGACCTCCTCCTTGCTGGAAATGAGGGTCTCCCCTTGCTGGAAAGAGATGGGGACTGGCTGTGTCACTGGTGAGCATGTGCTCAGCATTCTGTGTTCCTGATTCACACTGCCTATTCTCATGGAGAGCAGAGGGTGCACTGAGCAGGATGCCCGGGCATGGGCCTGGGGCTGGCCTGGTAGGGAAGGCTCAGCTTAGTCAGTGGGCCTGACGCTGCTCTTCTCCTGTTCTAGACCAGAAATGCTGCAGAATCTGAAGCCCAGACACCTTTCGGTCTTATTAAAGGCCACGCCTACACTGTGACGGGGATTGACCAGGTAGGGGTGGAACCCCACTGCTGGGGTCAGGGAAGGCCAGGACAATGGTCCTCTCTCAGGCATTGTAGTATAAACCACTTTTCAGGTGGTGTAGAGCCTATCTGCCCTAAAGGAGGCAGACTGGGCTTGAAACAAAAGAGGAATAAGAGAGGAACAGAGATGATTCCTCCACAGTATCATACTTGTTTCACAGGTAGGCAAGCCTGGGCTTTGCTTGTCTGTTTGGGGGTCTTTTTATGTTATAACCTTCTTTTCTTTACCAATTTCATATAGTCCATATTAGGATACTTCACAGAAAAACGGAACTTACGGGATATATATATATATATATATATATATATATGCACTTGTTATAAGGAGTCAGTTTGTGTGATGATGGAGGCTGAGAGAGCCCACAACCTTCCATCTGCATCTTGGAGCCCAAGAATGCCCATGGTTTAGTTCCAGTCTGAGTTTGAAGCAAGTTCTAAGTGCAGAAAAATCAGTGGTGTGAGTCCTGCCCCCAGTGCATGAGACTGGCCCGGCTCACACAGTCGGTAGAGAACAAATTCACTGTCCTCTGTCTTCTGAGTTGCTCAGGTCTATGTAGAGGGGTGTAGCCCACCCACACTGGGATCCTCTGCTGTGCTCAGTTTGCCAAATTAAACTTTGTCTCATCCAGAAACATTTGCACAGATACAACCAGACCAACCTTTATGCAAATATCTGGGTACTCCTATGGCCCAGTAAAGGTGACACATGAAATTGACCATCCCAAGTCCCGTCCCTGCTGCTGTAGCCCAAGACACACTGATCCTGGACATCCAGACCCCATGAAACATCATCCCACTTGTAGTGAACGGTTGGCCTGGAGGAAGGTCCCCAAGGGACATGTCTGAAGACAATACAGGCTGCTAGGGCTGATGACATGCTGAGCGACAGATGCCCAGGGAGTTCAGAGCAGTAGGGGTGCCTTCCTTCCTCCTCTCTGCTGCTCCGGTCAGAGATGTGGTCAGATTCTTTGGGACTCTCCAGCACTTCAGCTCTTGTGCTGGTTCCTTCCATCTCTTCCCCATCCCTATACATCCTAATACTCACTCATGTGGCACATGGCTTTTAGGTCACGCCTTCTAAATATTGTTTCAACTATAGACACCTCTTCTTTTCCCTTCTTAGTCCTCTTGATCCTGTTTTCCCTCTACCTTTAAGGAGTCTACCTTTCCCAGGACATTTTAAACCAGTGACCTTCCTACAAGTTGGGTCACAAGCCACACCTCCCACTCTGTCACACTGAACTGGTTTTACTCATCAAAATGCAGTTTATGTCAAGGGTATGAGCATGAAGCACTCTGATAGCTGAGATTGTTGCTTGCTCAATAAACAAAATCCTTTTTCTTTTCTTTTTTTTCCAAGTACCAGGAATCAAACTCACAACCTCACACTTGCCAGGCAGGCACTGTGCCAAGCTATATCCCTAGCCCAACAAAACCCTTTTTATTTTGCTCTTTCATGCCCAACTTTTCTCAGATGCCTCTTCCCTCCTCCTGCCCCTGTGCCCTTAGAGCCTGAGGCCCTGGCTGAACTGTTGCTTTACTAGCTGAAGAGTTGTCAACAAAGACAACCTCCCAGGACCCCAGAGTGCAAGAGTGTGAGACATAGAAGGGGGAATCTTTGGTTTCGGTTATGTTTAAATTCCTGGCATGTAGGACTGTGCTCCTACCCACCCATCTGGGAGCAGCCAGTGTGTTCCTGCGCATCTCTGGGGACCACACTGACTACTCTGTGCCAGACCCTGAGGTGCCACAGGTGGATACAACTCAGGGGATCCAGGAGATCCTAGTCTAGAGGGAAAAACTCCTTTTGAAGGTGGATCAAGTGCTTGTTAGTTACAATCTGATTCCCAGATGTGGCATAACCATTCTGTGATGATTGATATGACATCGTGGGCAATGCTAACAACAACTTCAGTAGGAATTTGAAAATTCCCAGGGCTGGTTAAAAAATTGATGTGTTTGTGTACCTTCAGTGTGTTTGGCTGACCCTGCAGGGAGATGCACCTCTGGGATCACCAAGGAATAGAGCTAAACTTCCGTGACTTTGTCTCTTCACATTTCCCTGTGCTTCTCCATTCCAGGTAAATTTCCAAGGACAGAAAATTGAGCTCATCAGAGTTCGGAATCCTTGGGGCCAGGTGGAATGGAATGGGTCGTGGAGTGACAGGTCAGTGGCCAGGCCCTATCGCTGTGCGTCCCAGGGTGCATGGGCAGTGGCTGTCTGCCGCTGTGAAAGAGAAATAGTTTGTTCCCAGGGATCCTAATCCCCAGGCTGTATCCTGAGTCCTGTCCTGCCCTGGGGCGGCATGACTTTCCCCACTTCAGCCCTCAGACCCTCCTGTAGCCCAACTTGTTTCCCAAGAATGACTTCTACAGCAGCCCTGCCCTATCGATGCACTTGTGTGCATGCATGTGTGGCTGAATCCCCATCCCTGGGGATATTTTATTCTTCCTCAGAGCTCGGAAGGACTTGAGCTCCAGCTAGGAGCAGCCTCGGTAACCAGAGTGTGGAGTACAGTGGTGACGAGTATTTGGGGAAATACCGCCAACCATGTAATCATGGGGGTGCTCTCTGGTTGGTCACTGACCACTGGCCAAGGCCTCATGGCCCAGAAGCCCCCAGCATTCACCTCCCTGCAGTTATTCATCAGTGATCTACTCAGGAGGTTCACACTGTCCCAAGAATTGTCCATGGGTAGCCCTTGGAGAAGCTCTTTCTGGTCAGCCCTTGCATTGGGCCAGTGGCCTGCCAGCCTGAGTCCCTGGGCACATCCTAGGGCCCAGTAAACAGGTGTTGGGCAGTACTTCTCCCCCTCCGTGACACTTGGGACTTCTGGGAGTTGTGGCTCCACCCCATCGCTGACCTCCAACTCTCTTTCCTCCTAGCTCTCCAGAATGGCGCTCTGTGGACCTCACTGAACAGAAACGCCTGTGTCACTCCGCCCTTGACGACGGGGAGTTCTGGTACAGTGTCCTCCTTTCCATTTCTGTACCAGCTGTGACTGGCGTGAACCATGGGGGATGGAACAGCACCCATTGCTTCCTTCCTTCCTTCTCTATCTCTCCTTCCTTCCTTCTTTCTTTCCTTTCTTTCTTTTCTGTCAACCCTCATAACCACCCAAGCTGGCAGAAAATTAGATCTCAGTGATGACTGCGGGGGGGGGGGGTGTGTTTCTCATCTCTGTTCTGTTTATGAGTCTCAGGGAGGTCATGCCACCTAGAGACTATCTGGCAGAGCTTCAGACGTCCTACTCCATGTCTCTTGTCCCCTCCTTGGGCCATCCAGGTTGTTCAGTGAGTGTGGAGACCAACACCTTTCCTCCCTCCCCAGCCAGCCCAATGATTTGGCCTTGAAGGTAGCATGTCCAGAAGTCTAGACCCCTAAGTTGAGCTTTCCATGGGGCCGAACCTCTTTGCTTGAGTGGACGTTTCCAATGACCCTTTCATCTTTAGACTCTTTCTCAATTTTACATCTCACTGTAGAATCCAGAAGCAGCACCTCCTGCAGCCCTGCCATTGCTCAAGTCTAGTTTTGAACTCTGTCTCTTTTGTGCCCTGCAGCCCCTCAGCTCCTGCCTGGGCTCATCTCCTCAGCACACCTGCTACATGCACCAAGAAGCACCAAGGCACACAAGTAGTCCAGTTTCTTCTTTTTCCCAGGCATGGCCTCAGTAGGCGTTGGTTCAGCTTCCCACATTTCCATCCTAAATGTGTTCATGCTGTTACAACAGAGTGCTGTGGGCCAGGGCTTCTAAGCAATGGAAATGTATTCCTCACAGTCCTAAAACTGGATCTGGTGTCTAGGGAGACCTGCTACATCTTCGCAGGGTAGAAGGGCCCAGGGAGCTCTTTGGGGCCTTCTGAGGGCACTAATCTCACCCAAAAGAGTATCACCCTCCTGACTCAACCAAAGCCCCACCCCCTCAGACAATCACATTGGTGATTGCTTTTCAACATGTGAGTTCAGACTGTAGCAACAGACCATGCATTTACCACACGCATTTTTCTCTCACCAGAATGACCTCCAGCCTGCTGGGTGTTCTGGTATAGGCCATGGTCTCTCCTCTCAGTCAGTAGCAATGACACACTGATACCTCGTTTCCGGGGTGCTCATGGCCCTGTACTGGCACCTCCTCCTCCCCAACCTCTTGGCATCAGGCCCAGCACTCACTGCCTAGACTGCCTCCTTCCTGCCTACTCACACCCCGTGGGTGACCTCTCTTGGTCCAGACTCTAAAGACCCTCTTTACCCTGACAACCCCAGCTTCTCTCATCAGCACCCTTCCCTGGGACTCCAAACTCAAGCACCCACCACCTGTGCTCCATCTCCCCCAGGTGCCCAGCAGACATCTCAGAGGAGCATCCACCTCTATACCCCATGCCCGCTCCTGACTACCCCACAGCCTTCCTTCCCCACATCCAATCCCTTAGCCAAGCCAACCTCTCAGCAGACCCAGGATCTGCTTTAGGTTTTTCTCAAATCTGGCAACTGCTCATACCCCAAGCTGAACTGAGCGACACCCCCACCTCCATTCCTGGCATGTTGAGCTGACTTCCTTGCTGGCCAGGTCACCTTCCAGTGGCTTCCATCTTCTCAGAGTCAAAGCCACCCCCTTCCGCCTATCCCCCCACTACCACTCCTCTGGATCTTGTCCCTGACTGATATGTAACTGGCCTTGTGACCTCACTGGTCTTCCTGGTGGGCCATGAACACATCAAGCTCCCCTCTGCCTGGACACCTCTGCCCCAGGACCCCAGAGAACTTCTTGTTCCATCCATCTGCTTTAGATCGTGCATTCACTTTTTTCAATCACTATATCAGACACCTGAGAAAACAATTTAAAGGAGAACAGCTTCATTTTGGCTCATGGTTCAGGGCATTCAGTCCACGTTCAGATGGCTCCAAGGTAAGAACATCATGGCAGAAGAGTTGATGGAAGAAAGCTGCTCAGCCCGTGGCATCCAGGAAGCAGAAAGTAGGGAAAGAGCCCAAGAGGAAAGGACCAGTGACCAGTTGTATTTCCCAAGGTCACGCCTCCATGGCCCACCAGACACACCCAGAAGTGTGCCTTGCTAATCTCCTAGGTGGTTTCCAAGCCAGGCAAATTGACAAACATGATAAACCTTTACAGGCCTCCACCCACAATGCCTGCCCAGCATCTGTCTGGGTAACAGCCACCCTCCAGCCTGACTTTGTTTTCCTCTCTAGCTCTGATGACTCCCATCAAACTGTGGTTTTGCATTTCTCCACTTTTTACAATCTTTATTTTACCTTTCCGTAGTGTTTTCTGTCCCCCACTCCATGAGACAGAGTTGGATGACTGACTGAGAGGACAGAGGGTGTCACTGCCATCATCCCCTGCACATCAATCTTTCATCTTGCTACAGGATGGCCTTTAAGGATTTCAAGACCCACTTTGACAAGGTGGAGATTTGCAACCTCACGCCTGATGCCCTGGAGGAGGACACTCTCCACAGATGGGAGGTCATAGTCCACCAAGGAAGCTGGGTTCGGGGCTCTACAGCTGGGGGCTGCCGCAACTTCCTGGGTAGGTGGCTCTCTATCACTCCTGCTGTCATCCCCAGGCATCCAGGACATCTCAGGGTTGGAGCCAGGACCCTCAGAGGAGCCTGAATTGCAGAGCTGAACTACCAGTTTCAGGGATGAGCAACGAAAAGAAAGCTGTAGAGTCTTGGTAGGAAGCAGATGAGAATTTTGAGGGGAAACTCCATTTTATCACTTGGGTTATTTGCCTTTTGGGTTGTTACCAGTATAGGAAACAGAAACCATAAGTCATACTAGATTAATTAATTGTCCTACAAAACTGAAACATACAAAGAAGTAGATCAGGATTCAGGCATGGTACTATCAAGGCTCTGGCTCTGTTTCTTGATCATCCTCTGCTCTGCTTTCTTCCTGTGTTGACTTCTTCCTCAGTCTAGCCTGCTTTGTAAGCATAGGAGGGCTGCCAGCCACACTCAGGCCCTCCTAGATTCTCTCCACACCCTAGCAAGAGCCCATAAAGTCAGTACACAACAGCCCTGACTGCCTCCCACTGGAAAGTCCAGTGTTGCCAGGTGAATGCTCTGAGCTGAGTGTCTTTGTTCCAATTCTGTGGCAAAAGGACTGTCATAGACCAGAGTTCATCCTTAGACTGGGAGTAAGGTCCCCAATCTACTCATATGACTCAGGACACAAGCTCACTACTCTTTCCTCTGGAATACCAAGTGGAAAAAATACAATTTTTCAGACCTAAGTAGACTAGACCCAGGAGGATGGATGTCCTTCAGAAAGAGGCAGAAAGAAGAGGGGACACTGGAGATTTTTGTTGGGGATCACAGGAAGCAGGGCAAGGGGGTAATTAGAACAAGGTGAGAAAAGAACATTTTCTAAGGTTGGGATAACCAATTGGAATGGGTGAAATGGGGTGTGTGTGTGTCACATGTATTCTTTGTACTTTTAAGGAAGTGACAATAACCTGCTCACTTCTTTCACATGGCAGATACCTTTTGGACCAATCCACAGATAAAGCTGTCCCTGACAGAGCAAGATGAGGGTCAGGAGGGATGCACTTTCCTTGTAGCCCTGATGCAGAAGGATCGGCGGAAACTCAAGAGGTTTGGTGCTGACTTGCTGACCATAGGCTACGCCATTTACCAGGTAGGGGACCAAGTACACGCAGAGTGCCCACGCAGATCTGACCTCCCAGGTGCCCGCTCCCATACCTCAGATCTACATCCAGGCCCTGACTGTCTGAGGAGCTGAAAGCAGCAGCTCCAAGAGTGCCCTGCTTCCACTGCAGAGCCCGGAGGAGCACGGACACCTGAGCAGAGACTTCTTCAGGTATCACGCTTCCCTGGCCAGAAGCAAGACCTTCATCAACCTGAGGGAAGTCTCTGACCGCTTCCAGCTGCCTCCGGGGGAGTACATTCTGATCCCCAGCACCTTCGAGCCCCATCAAGAGGCTGACTTCTGTCTGAGGATCTTCTCAGAAAAGAAGGCCATCACCAGGTGCGGAAAGGGAGTGGCTCCAGAACCCTCCCCTGAGTGGTACATGGGGACTGCACCCCCATCTCACCTTTGCCATTGTGTCCTACAAAATACAGCATTGCAAAAGCTGCATACATCTCCCTGTAGCTCTGTATTTCTCATCTTTAGACAAACCGATAACTGCTCCCAGAATTATGTGCATAGGCCTCTGCCTTCTGGACCTTGACACTAAGACACTCCCCCAGGAAACTTCTGCTGGTGGGGGGCACATTGATTTAGCCACTTTCCCCATCTCTGAGACACAATACTTCACACCCCTGTCTTTAAGGAGCAGTAGTTTATTTCAGCGCACAGTTTCAGAAGCTACAGTCCATGGTTGGTAGGCTCCAAGGCAGAAACAGCATGGCAGAAAGGTGAGGCAGAGGAAGGCTGATCACATCACAGCATCCAGGAAGCAGAGAAAGAAGGGCGGTGCCTGGGAGGCAGACAGGCCCTTCCGGGTCACACCTTCCGGTGACCTCTTCCAGCCGGACCCCGCCTCCCGGCAGCAGACTCTCGAATGGCTACAGTGCCTGGATAAGCCAGCCACCCTTCAAAGGGTTGCCTCTGTGCACATGCGAGTTTGGGGGGACAATCCAGATCCAAGCACACATTTAGGGATGCTGGACTAATTTCTGTGCTTGTAACGACTCCAGGTTTCCAGAGTGACACACTCTTTCAGCTCCTTTTGGTGCAGGTTGACAGTCTGGACCACTTCACACTCCCCACACTCATTCCAAGTCTGTCACAAAATCATGCTGTATTTGTTACTTTTTTTTTTTTTTTTTTTTTTTTTTTTTGAGGCAGGGACTCACTCCATAAGACTGGTCTCAAATTGGCAGCAACCTTGTTGCCTCAGCCTCCCAAATGCTGGGGTTGCAGGTATGTACCTGCACGTCCAGCTGTATCTCTTACTTCTGTGGAAGATTTCCCATTGCTGCCTTCCAACACTGGTCACTCTGTGGCAGAGGGGAAATGGTTCAAAACAAAACGAAACAAAAAAATCTGTTCCTTTACACAAAGAAGCTATTCTAAAAATCGCAGACAGTGCCCAGAACTGGTTCTGTAGTTTTGCTAGGCAAATCTTCGGGAAGAGCAACATTCACAGTATTGATAAGAGAGATGCAGTGGTGATGCGTGCTTGCCCTGGTTTCCTGCTGCTAAGTGAGCAGAGGGTGGGTGGCTGCACGGAGAAGACCCTCCACCCCAGAGCCCAGCGGTGCTGAGGACTAAGACCTGGCTCTTTCTCTCAGCTACATAGAAGCAGTAAAGTCTTTTTTAACTCTGTTAGAGAATTTTAGAAAAATTCTGTTGTGTGAATGCAGATGAGGAGACCAGGGAGAACTGCCTTGCCCAGTCTTAATGTTTGTTTGTTTCTTTCTTTATTGTATCTCCTTTGAATTTTTTCTTTTTTCTTTGGGAATGCCTCAGGTGTTAACTTATAAGACTGAATTTCTCCAAATGTTTTTCTTGTCAACAAAAGCTGAAGTCTCGGGGCTGGAGGTTTAGCTCAGCAGGCATAAGTGCCTGCCTTGCAAGCAGGCAGTTGTGAGTTTGATCCCCGGTACTCATAAAAAGGAAAAAGACAAAAAAAAGCGCTGAAGTCTCCCTCCTAGAATTACTGCTATGGAAACACTGGGACTCCCCTACATATGGAAACAGAAAAAGTAACAGTTTCCATCATTTTTCCTCTTTTCCTCAAACAGGAGCATACAAACACACAGCTCCTGGTCAGCTGTGTAGGGAGAGCAAAGGGTGTGGCTTGCGGCTTCAGAGTTTCTGTGTTTGTGTTTCTGTTTGTGTTTTGGTTTTGGTTTTTTTGGTCCTGATCCTATGCACTCTGTGATCTTTTTACCTCCCCACCCCATGATAAATTCAGGGTGGGCTGAGACAGTTGAGCCCTGTGCATCTCCCCTTGGGGGCCCCTTGATGGGACACAAGTAGGGTGAGACGATCCTGCCTGTGGGCCTTGGTGGCCCTCTGCTCCGCACATCCCTTCATCAGTGGCTCATTAACATGCATCAGGGAAATAGGAAGCATCTGCTTGTTTAGAAGTCTAGGGTTTGTGGGCTTTAGTTGGAGGAGGGCTGCTCCCAGCTCCCTCTTGCCACCGTGCCAGCCAGGGTCTGAGTGGCTGGGGCAGGTGTCAAGGTGAAGGGTCTGCAAACCCTGAAAAAGGCAAGCAATACAGGCGGGGGCAAATGTGAAGGCTTATTAGGGTCTGCAAACCCATGAAAGGTGAGGGGCATTGAACAAGCAGGGCTCCCGCCACACGGGGCCTGCTGTGGCTCGAGCATCCGTGAGAAGTTACTCCACAGCTGAGGTGTGTTTTCCACCCTACAGGGACCTGAACGGAACCATAGACATCCACCTTCCAGAGGTGAGTCTTTTGCCCCTGTGGGAGAACTGGATGTGGGCAAAGGCCCTGGAACCCTCTCTCCTGACCATGGTGCCCCTCAAAGTTCAAGGTCAGGAAATGGTGCATGTGCTTGGGTTTGTGGCTGTGGTTCCAGCCCTGGATGCCAAACTCCATGCATAGCCCACAGGCAACAGCAGGGCTGAGACAGGCGCTCAGCATAAAGTTCTGCAAGCCGCTCTCTGCCTCTGGACTCTACCTCCCCCTGAGAGGTATCTGATGCTTGTGGAGAGAACAAAATCACTTAAAGTGTATTTATTTAAGAAAAACAATCAACAAAAGAAGAGGAATGGGGCAGGTAGACTGCTTTGCCAGGAGTTCCAGGGACTCTTCCTGCACAGTGTGTGCTTTGGAGCAGAGGAGCCGGTTTCACTTTACCCCAGGTATGCCAGGCCTTCAGGAGGCTTAAAGGTCTTCCCTAGCTGGAGCTGCTGTTGCATCCACCCACCAGCCCCTGGAAACACGGAAACCAAAGCCTCCTCAGATGTGTGCTGTCTCCCAGTGGTACCTGACCTAGACAGATTCCTGCTTTCCAAGGGTCCACTGCCCACCCGACAAGACAGGGCGGTGGTAACTGCTGTCAGAGATTAGGGTGGCAAGGAGGCTTGGCAGCCCCTACCCAGCCAATAATCAGGCCCAGCTTCCTTTCCTCCCTTCCATGCCAACAGGAAGTTAAGGAATCTGCAGGTTGGCACAGAGCCCCTGCCCTGGTCCTGACTGAAATAGGGTCACTCGTGCTGATGTCTATGTCACCATGTCAAGATCAAGCTGTTCACCTACAGTCACAGACACCCAGGACGGGGCTGGGCATTTAGCTCAGCAGCAAAGCGCCTGCCTGACAAGCACAGGTCGTGAATTCAATCCCTGGTACAAGCAAGCAAGTAAGCAAGAAAGAAAGAAAGAAAGAAAGAAAGAAAGAAAGAAAGAAAGAAAGAAAGAAAGAAAGAAAGAAAAAAAGAAAGAAAGAAAAGAAAAGAAAGACCCAGAGAGATACGACAGCCAGACCCAATGCAGGCCAGCTCTAGCCAGGAAGGAAAAAAAATTTCCTAAAACCTCCATAACCTCCATAAGTAAAGTTGACAGCAATTCCTGGACCTACCCAATCACTTTGGTCTGAAATTTTTTTTTATCAGAGATTGACCCCAGGGCCTTTGCACTGGGCTCTATCCCCAGACCTTTTAAAATGGTTTTTTTGTTTTGAGACTGTCTCATTAAATTGCTACAACTTGAGCTCTTCCAGTCTCAGCTCCCAGAGTGCTGGGATTGGAGGGCTGTAACTCCTTGTCTAGTCTACCAATCCATTTTCATATCATCCTACTTCTGGACCTGCTCAAGCTGCCTGAAAACCTCATTGTTCTGCCAGCCAAGAGGCTGTGTTTACAGACAGGAAGCTACTTAATTCATGAGTCACTGATGAAATCCAGTTAGGTTTTTGGACCCAGCTTGAGGGCGATCTGTCCCTTGACATCTGTGAGTCCAGCTGACCCAGTCCTTCAGGATCTGGTTCTGAAGAGCCTCCCAGGCCTCCAGACTCTGCTCCCCACCCCAGACTGATGTATAGCTCGGCACAGTTCCGGCTCTCCCTGGGGGCAGCACCGTGATGCGTCCCTGGGGAAGTGAATGTCAGTTCTCTTCCTTGTGGTCCTTTGGTTACATTTCAGGCCCTGCCGCCTGTCCCTGAGCAGGAGTCGGAGGAGGAGCAGCACTTCCGGGCCGTGTTCCAGCACATCGCTGGTGAGGTAGGCCGTCTGCCTTAGCTTTCCCCGGCTAAGGCCGCCTGGCTTCCCAGTAGGGCACTGGGCTCCTGGGCTTTGTCAGCACTGCTTCCCCAAGTCCTGGTGGGGCTTGTGGCAAGTGACGTCAGCCCTGGTCTCAGAGGCCCATGTACCAGCAAGTCCGTAGCATCTCACACCAGTGCACCTCTGTGACAGGGCCATCAAACCCAAAGCACTTCAGAGCGACACAGAAGCTTCTTGAGGCAAATCAGGGACAGCCTTGACCAAGTGGATCCTTTGAAATCGGCCCAGAAATCAGTGCTATTAAGATGCCCTCTCACCAGGTGTGGCAACACAAGCCTGTAATCTCAACACTCTGGGAGGCTGAGGCAGGAAGACTGCCATGAGAGTAGACTGGACAACTTAGCAAGACCCTGTCTTAAAGTAAGCATAGCAAAATACGGCTCAGGGTGAGGGCCCTGGGTCAGTCCCCAGTCACACACACACAGTTGCCCTCTCATCACTCCACAGTGCTCAGGGAGGCCCTATTCCACTATAACCTTGGTACCCCAGAAGGAGTCTCGGGGCAGTGAGTGCTCAGGGTCAGACATAGGCCACTGAGGGAAAACAAATCCCAACCCCACTTCCTGTCCTGGACCTTCAGCCTGTTCTTGTCTCTCTGTGGATTACCCATTTGTTGAGACCTGGTACCCCTGGGGAGCTAAGTCTCCTCCTTCTGCCAGGTGCTGTCCCACGAGTAACTACTAAAAAAGGAGCTGGTGGATTGGCTCATATGGCTGAGTGCTTGAGGGTGAAAAGCGCGGCTTGGGAGGTGGACTCTATACCCAGAGATGGTGACTCCACAGGGCCTGCAATCAGTAAGTAGGGCAGGAGCCTGGAGCCACAAGCTGGGCTGAAGAAGGAGCCGTGTGCCCAGCTTTACCACAGCGGGAGAGTGACCACCTCTCCTGGCAGACCAGAGCGGGTCACAGAGGGGTGGAAGACAGGGGACAGAACCCTGGTGTCAGCTGGAATGGAGAATGCTGGAGGAGGCTGATGCTGAAGGTGTCAGGGCCAGAGTCAGCTTGGTGGACTCTGAGTTTCAAAGGAGGTAGATGGGGCAGGGACAGAAGTTGCCAGAATGGAGATACAGAGTTTGGAGTGGGCTGGAGGTAGGAGACTGATTCAACCTTTGTTAACAAGGAGATAGCCCTCTGGAGTAGGCTTCATCCTGCAAGAGTCTCGGGGTAACCCTGCACGTGGCTCTGTCTCTCCCCCTCATTCAGTGTGGGCACAGGCTGGTTGCATCTGCACCATTTTGCTTTTTCTGTTTGCAACACTAGGCATTGAACCAAGAGCCTTTGCACTAAGCTACATTTCAGCCCTTGTTTTTATTTTGAGATAGTCTTGCTATGTTTCCCAGGCTGCATTCAAATGTATAATCTTCCTACCTCGGCCTCCCAGAATACTAGGATTATAAACCTGTACCACCACTCCCGGCCATCCTTACTTTCTTACTAGGGCCAAAGCCTCAACCCTCAGGCCTATGGGCTTCAGGGGCAGAACTTCTGGCACATGTAAAAATAACCCCAGGTGTTGTATCCCACTCTTTGGGCTCAAACCTTGGACAGTTCAGCCAATGACAGGGCTGCCCACTTTCTCCTGTACCTGAAAACCACCTGGCAACCGGGAAAACCTGCAGGCTCTACTCCTATGAGTCTGGGGCAAAACCAGGACTATATTTCCAACAGGGTTTGCTGCAGGACACAAGGTTTACTGTACTGTTTGGATTGTTGGCTCTGAAATTCACCCCCAAGGCATTTTAAAAATCACCAGTCAGCTATATTTCAGGATCTCCCAACTTAATGGTCCCTGAGGTGAGCCCCAGAAGCAGGATTGTGTTTTAGCTCTCTAGGCAAAGCTGCTGAGGAAAGGAGTGGCGACGCACACCAGTTTTACCAAATTTCTCTGGCGTTTTAAGTCTTCCAGGAGCGGCAGGAGCCATCCCCAGGGTATTTCTCCTCTGCAGGAAAGTTGGGTATCACACCTCCTGCCAGGGTTGGCCAGGCCTCCCTAAGAAGCCAGTGGGTGGCAGCCACTGGGAGATGGGCGCAGGATCTCGTCTCATCTCATCCTGCAGCAGGATCTCAGGGCTAATCCGTCACCTGAGCCAAATGGACCTCAGGAAGATGGAAACTCAACAGGAGGTGCTGGGACTGTAAAGGGCTATTGTCTCCACTCCCGTAGGACATGGAGGTGACAGCAGAGGAGCTTGAATATGTTTTGAATGCTGTGCTGCAAAAGAGTAAGTGCCACGCCCATCAGGGCCCCCAGGCTCCCACAGTGGGGAGGAGTGATCACACTGCTGTGTCCCTCCAGCTCCCCAGGCTCCTTGCTCTTCCCGGGACCTGCTTCCTGGGCTAACTTTACGGAAGCTTTACAAACAGCTGACATGGTTGATTTTCTGATTGTCAAAATTATGCAATTTGAGCTGTGCTTTGTGCCTTATGCCTGTAATCCAGCATTCTGGGACACTGAGATGGGAGAAGTTTGAGCCTAGGCTGGGCAACTTAGAAAGATTCTGTTTTAAAAAAATTGCCAGGCACAGTGACTCATGCCTGTAATCCCAGAACTGAGGCAGGAGAATCATGAGTTCGAGACTACCCCGGACTACAAAGTGAGCTCAAAGCCAGCTTGAACTGCATAGTGAAAACCTGACTCGAAAAGACTAAATAAATAAATAAATAAATAATAGAGTTGAGGATGTAGCTCAGTGCAAAAGCCCTGGGTTAAATCCCCAATACTTCACACATGCATACTCTCTCTCTCTCTCTCTCTCTCTCTCTCTCTCTCTCTCTCTGTCTCTCTCTCATATGCACATTATGTAGACAAATTTATTGGTAATACCCTTCCAATGATCATTTATATCATTTCTAAGTTTTGCCATTAGTAACCTTATGATAAAAATCTTACATAATTTTTTGCTTGGGATGCTAAGAACTAGAATGAACAGATATACGAGTACCCCCTGAGTCTGTTTTTCTGCTTTTTTGTTTTTTTGTTGTCTGTTTGTTTTGTAGAGTTTTGTGTTTGTTTCAGTGCTGGAGACTGAACCCAGGGCCTCATGTATGCCAGGGAAGTTCTCTAACACTGAGTCACATCCCAGCCTAGCATTCCCATTTCTAAGTCTTTTGTTGCTGTAAATTTTCTTTCTGAAAGACCGTGTCAGCTCCTACTTTCAACAGCATCATAAGACGGTGTCCACTTTATGACTCTGTGGTGTCAGATCTAGCCACACTTTGGGGTTCTCACAGAAGGAAGCATAAGTCTGTCTTACCAGATCAACTGAATTCTCGCATGTGTGATTCCAGAAAAGGGCTTCAAGTTCAAGAAACTAAGCCTGATCTCCTGCAAGAACATCATATCTCTGATGGATGTATCCTTCCAAACAGTTCACCACTGTGTGGGCCGAGGGTTTCTGTTTGCACCCATGCTGAGAATGCTACATGCTCAGCCAATAGGAAGCCTTCCCAGGAAAGACCCAGATATTAGGATCGCCTGGTGCTAGATCTGGGTCAGAACCAAAGCCAGGACCATCCAGGAGGGAGAAGGTATCCAAAGGATTTGGGGGTCACATTGGCACTTGAGGGCCCACCCAGTACAATGAATAGCATGCTTGTGTGTTTTGCAAACCTTCAGGTGGCCCCTCCCCAACTCACCCCTTCTAATTCTCATCAGAGATGCATGGTTCAGTCACTAAAGTCACCGCCTGAATCTATCACCTATGCCTCCAGGCTAGACAGCACCCCTCCCACACACACATGTTACCAGACCTGGGATCCCACAAAAAGCCTTGGTTGTTCCCTTAACCCATGTGGCCAGACCACAGGCAACGGGAAGCTGGACTTCAGTGAATTCTGGGTGTTCTGGAACAAGCTGAAGCAGTGGACTGTATGTGACTTTGAGCAGACAGCCAAGCCCAAAGCAGGGGTGGGGAGGAGCACAGGCTAAGGGGTGATCCTGGAGTGGCAAGGGGGAGACAGAAAGAGGGCTCGGGCTACAGTGTGACTCAGCGGCTGGCTTAGTGTGCACGGAGGGGGGTTGGAGATGTGGGCAGAGAGAGAGAGACAGCTACAGGGCCCAGCCCGACCTTGCCTCTGTAGGCTGGAGGTGGGAGGCGGGGTCTCCTGGGCAGCCGCCACCCCATTACTGCTGTCCCATGACACAGCCTCCTCACTGCCTCACTTTCCCCACAGAACCTGTTCCTCCAGTTTGACTCTGACAAGTCAGGCACTATGTCCTCCTATGAGCTGCGGACTGCACTGAAAGCCGCAGGTAAAGGAAAACCTGGGGTGACGGTACTACCCTCAGGGGCACCCGCCTGTGACCCTAGCAGGTAGCAGGCAAGAGCAGGTCTTATGCCCCTGAAAGGTGAGCCTCTGAGTGGCTCTGACACTTCTTAAGAACACAGTCTCCAGAGCAACATGGCAGGCTTCCCTCGCACATCCAGGTTCTTGCTTTAACCCATGGTGTACATCAGTAGGAATTTTTAAGATACGTCCTCTATGAATGAATTTGTCCTGCCCCCACAGGCGTCTCAGCAGCTGGCCAGGTTTTTCAGCCAGCACAGTGATATGTGACTCTGCAGTGCCTCCAGTCCTCTAAGCGCTGCTCTGAGGGAGTCACCACCATAGGCACAGAGCGTGCCTGCCTGCGGTTTGGGCAACCATGCGCCCCTCCACCTACCACCCATGGCCTGTTACCAGCTCTGCCAGCAACAGTCTCTAAATCTAAACCAGATGACTCAGTTGATAGCCAACTACTTTCCATGAAGGACAGGCTACCAGTGACGTTTCCACCTCCCGAAGTCACTGCCTGGCAGGCTGGTCTTGGGGGCTCAGGCTCCTGTGCACCAGCCATGGTCTTGGTGACTCCTCGGCAGCCTGAATCCAATGCACTTTTTAGGCAGGGGCTGCTACTGCATATGACACCACTCTCTCCCCCACTCCCAGCACTAGACATCTAGAACATACCTAGGTCACGTTTTGATAGGGAGAATGTCACAGTGGTGCCTGATTTTCCAGAGCAGGAGGAGCTGAGCATGGAATGAAGGGGCCCTCAGAGAGAACGAATGTGATCAAATTTCCATCCTGATTTGAAGTGAGAGATTCACCACCCCAAGTCTGTGGAGGGAGACCCCAGGATCCTGGCACAGCTGTAGCCAGTACCATTGTTTGGGCTCCAGAAATTGTGTTCTGGGGCTAACCAGCCTCTTCCTCTGGCTGGAATCTGGAAGGAGAGCCAAGAAGGTCCAGTGTGAACTTTGGACAATCTTGGGAACACATGGGCTAGGATGGGAGAGAGAAGGTACAGAGCTCCTGAGAGCACTTTAGCAATTAGAGAGTGAGGTGCACTTTGGTGGTAAGTGGCTACCTAGCATGAGTCCTGTCCCCAGAACCTCAAAAACAAACAAAAAAGTAGTGTATGACTAGAAATCAAGCTAAACTGGATCTGGAAGAAACTCTGCTGTGTCTAAACCCAAATCTGACAGATGAGAAACTGAAGGCAGAGAAAGGAAGCCACCCTCCATGGTACCAGGCAGGAAGGAGCCCACATGGTGTCTTCATGCGGGCTGCAGTGCCTCTCTGAGACACATTCGACATTGAAATGTCCCTGAGCAGTGCTTACACACCTCAGTATCAGGCCTGAGAGGGTGCTGGGGCAGGTGCCAGCAGGGGGCGCTGCTGCAGAACCAACGTGGGACTCCTGGAAAGCCAGTAAGCCTCCAGGAATGATGTGACTGCAAAACCAACACTAGGAACTCCTTAGACACGTTAAATTCAGATGGTGCCCCTAGTGCTCAGAGTCCCCAACACAGACACATGCCTGACCCACATCCAGACCAGGGACAAGGCCCCTAGATAGAGCATCTCTGCTCTGCGGAGCAGACACTTTTTACCCCTTTTGACCACTTACCCTGGGCCACCTGGGGGCCCCGGCACCGTGGACTCATGGGCCAACATGGCAACTCTCAGGCTCCCATCCCTCCGCAGGCTTCCAGCTGAGCAGCCACCTCCTGCAGCTGGTTGTGCTCAGGTACGCAGATGAGGAATTCCAGATGGACCTTGATGACTTCCTCAACTGCCTGGTGCGGCTGGAGAACGCAACCCGTGAGTGTGGGAGCTGTGAGGGGTGGAGGCACCTCAGGGCATTTTCAGTCATGCTTCCTGAGCATTTAAGATACAATTTGAGCTGGCTACAATGGCACAAACCTGTAATTCCATTGCTCTGGAAGGCCAAGACAGGAAACTCACAAGCTCCAATCCATCCCGGGAAATTTAGTAAAATCTGTCTCAAAATAACAAAGGGTTGGGGAGGTAGCCAGGGCACGGGTACTGGGTTCAATCCACAATGTTGTGGGGAAAAGAACAGGCAAAATACAGCAGACAGATCTAGAGGAATGTTATAGCAGAAAAGGAGAGGAGCCACTTGTGGGTGCCCGTCTTGATGCTGCATCCATTATGACACTTTACCCCCTGTGAAAGAGGCCAGATGTGCCCAGCCTTTCATCTTCCCAGTACAAAGGGACCCAGGTCCCAGGCATCTCATGCTGGGTCAAATGCTGTGATGTCACCATCTTAAGAGTTTGAGTTTCAAACAAGAGCTCCCACATTCCACTTTGCACATAACCTCTCCAATTGTGTGTCTAGGCCTGCCTCCCATTTGCTAAAATCTATCAGTAGACAACCTCAAGGCAGGGTCTCAAGTTCTCAATGATGTTCTTCCACCCAGGTGAGGACAAGGTGACGACTTGCTTGAACTTGTTTCCATTAGTAGGAAAGCTGGAGGTAGGGGGAGCCATACTTAGTATGCTAAGTCTATAAACATGGCAGAGGCAGAGTGGGAGGAGGGGAAGGGCCCTGGAGGTCCTTCCAGGAGGCAGAGCTCCTTCACGTGGTGACTGGTAGCCAGGAAGAAGTGATTTTTGAAAGACCCATCCCAAAGATAACACTTAGACTCATGAGGTGATCAGAGCAGACCCTAGGAATCAGAGAGCTGATAACTTTTTTCTTCTCAGCTGATCTCCTTCCTCAGCCCCCCTCACACCTGATCTTTTCTGGCCCCGCTTTGGCTGGTCTTCTGGTGGAGGAGAGCCAGGGAAGAGGCCCTCAGGCTTCTGGCATCCTCACAGTGCATCAGCTGGGAAACTCACCAAGGCTACAGCTTTGGCCCGGGGTGGTTTCAGTGTTCAACCATAGAAATTTTCCACCATGCACATAAATACAGAAGATAACAGACTCCCATGTTCTTCACACCAGTGCTTCACAAACTTTTGCTTCCTAAGGGAGCTTGAAATTTTCTGATGATGTAGCTCAGTGGTGAGTGCCTGCCTGGTATGTGCCAGGACCTGGGTTTCATCCCACGCATCACCAAAATATATAAATTAAATAAAATAAACAAATGTGGTGACCAGGTTACATGGTAGACCAATTAGGTTACACTCTCAGGGGTGGAAATTTATAAAATACTCTGCATCTACACGCATCAGAACTTATAAAATTTCCCAGCATGTTCTAGCACTGTATACCAAGTCTCAACAAATTTTTCCCTCTGACACATATTTCTCCCCTGAATTATTTAGTGGTGGATCCCAGAGATTCTGCCCTTGCACATGCAAACATCTCCAATGGATAGGCTGGTGACCATGGATTTCAGGGAATCTGGGACTCTAAAAGGTTAAGACAGGGAAGTTTTAGATTCCGAAACTTGCCAACCACTGGCATAGGGGCAGCATGAGCTGCCATTCCCAAGACTATTGTCCTGCTGCAGGAATTGAAGTCCCTTCTGTTGCTCCAGTCCTCAGGCTGTGCCCTGCAATTCCTGTTTCCCACCAGAGGGAGCAGCTCCCCCATGGATGGCTTTCCGCTCGCTGAAGAGATGGTCTCCATGGTGACATCTTTCTGTCTTTCCCCTCAGGGGTGTTCCAGGCCCTCAGTATGAAGAGCAAAGACTTCATCCACCTCAACATAAACGAGGTATGGGAACCACGAGTGCTTCTCCAAGGGCATTGCTGAACTCAGCATCAGTGAGGGCTGTACTTAGCACAGGCATGACAATATGGTAGCTGATATTTCTGAGGTACTGCTCACTTGGCTCAGTGACTGAACCCATTGCTAAGTGCCAGTAGAATCCCCATTGTTCTGAGGTGCAAACTGAGGCACTGGTACATGGATTACCTCAAACAGAGGTATGAACACATCACTTTCTTGTACTTTTCTTCCTTCTATTGACCAGCTCCTCTGTCTGCCTTCTAGCTCAAGATCTGCCCACTCACCCTCACAAAGGTCATCCTGTGACTTCTGTGATGTCTGTGTGTGCACCTCAAAACCCTAGAAACACAAGTCTT